TTTTTTTTTAAAAAAAAAAAAAAACTTCCAAATACCCCCAAGTAAAACCCTAAACTCTGAACCCTCAACCGACTAGGAGGCAAACTCCATCCTGGAGTGTCGTAGAGGCTCGCGAAGACCGGCGATGTTGCAGATCTCCGAAAAGCCCTACAGCAGTTAGCTTTCAGGTTTAGTTTGGGTTTAGGGTTTGGGTTTCTTCGAAAGCACTACATGAGCTAGCTTTCAGCTCAAGACAGAAGTGTAGCGGCCCCGAAACCATAAGCAGCAACTCAAAAGATGCGGGGCTGCAACAAACCCAAAACCCATACACACAAAAATGCAAAAAAAAAAAACAGGTATCAAATGGATAGACCCCTGCCTGAGAGACCCTAGATGGATATTGAAGAATCTAGGAGCTGGCCCTATGCATGCATAGTTTCGGGTTTAGGGTCTAGGGTTAGCAGTTAGTTTCACACGGGCGCTGCGTGGTTCCAACGACTTTCCCAAAATCAAGGTAATCTGTTTCAGGTGATGTTAGTAGGAAGGATTTGGATGTGTAACAAATGAGCTTGGTGGCAGGAGGGCAAACAACGTGTCATTCGACACGGAAAGGTGCAGCGCCTATAGTGGCTAATGCTGCCAAATGCAAGGTATCAATACTTTTGACGCCTATCTATCAGCATTGTGAAAACAGAACCTAATTAAGGCTTTCAGCAGGTGAGGGATGCTCAACAATAACGGGGACAGAGCCTCAAAACGCGGGGCCTCTCGTCCCGGAAAGATGATGTATAGAATACTCAGAAACGAGGAAGTACATAGCTTCCTGTGAAGCGCTAGCATCGTGCAGGCTTGCCTCAACTGGATGGTACCCAAGGTCGTCCCCGGCGTCCTAGACACCATTGGCCGAGGACCTGCAGGTTGGACGTGAACAAAATTCAAAGTGCCCTTTCGAACCTTGGGCTTCGTGGGGATCACATCGGCGAGGAGGTTATCCATGTCATGTTAAGCAACTACTATGCCTATGCTCAAGCATATGTATTTACAAAGGCATATGGTAGAAGTCCTAGACTCGGTTTCCGGCTCTTCTGAGGACTTAGGAAGATGATGAGATGAGAAGCCGAGTTGCCTGCCAAGGACCCTCCAAGCTGATGCAGGAGCCCATGCTCCCCACACCGGGAAGGTACAACACATAATCTTTGAGCACCCGATTGCTACATCCAGCTCCGAAGAAGCTCAAGCTTCATCCAGGAGGGGACCTTCCTTGCAAAATGGCACTTTGCAATAGCAACTAGGAGCAATAACAATAGTAGTGTCATTACCTCGACCTTGAACCATGTTCACCTTCGTTGCCTGAAATTGAAACCTGATCGTTTCTCAAACCCAGGGCACCCTTTGTGGAGACCAAGTATGCTTCAGAATCCCTACTTTCAAGACAGTCGATCAAATCCCCGCGCTGAGCCCATTCCTGAACTCTGAACCCTTGTCCCTGAAACCCTAACTGTTCTCACTATAATTAAGTAATTAGGGGCTATAAGGGTAATGGAAAAATGGAAACTACCATCTCACCAGTAGGGCTCAGGGTCAAAGGATATTGCCTCAACCATACGCGGCTTTAAATATACGGATCATAACTCCCAAACTGCGGAAATATTTCGCACACTTCCACTTGTTTCCCCATCTGAGCAGCTATAGTCTAAACTCCTGGTATCCCCCTGAATAACCCCTATAGAAGTCCCCCATATAATCCCCATTAAGGAGTTTAGACTATAGCTCACTTGACAGGAACATTGCGAATGAAGCCGTGCGGCAGTCTTCCACTTTGCCCTCTGGGAACTTCACCTGACCCGGTTTTGTAGATATTGTATTCGAGGGTGTAGGGTTTAGGGTTTAGGGTTAAGGGCTTAGGGTATATATATAGGGTTTAAGGTATAGGGTTTAGGGATTCGGGTTTAGGGTTTAGTCAGAGGGACTCTGTAAGCAGGTTAACAAGGGAGGTACCCAGGGTTGTAACATTATAGGGGCTATTACTTACTTACTAAGCCTCTCTGACCCTTCAAGTGTAGTGTAGGGAGGAATAATGACTTAGGTTTTTGGGTGTAGTGTAGGGTGCAGTGAACTCTTTGGGGTAGAGAGGCTTTGGGGCTTAGAGCGTACTGTAGGGTTTGGGCTCTAGAGTTTAGTTTTGAGGGACCTAAATCATTGCATGCCAGAAACATATCAAAATGGAACCATAATATTGGTCGTTGTTTAGGCCCACTATAACATGAGCTATAGTCTAAACTCCTAGTATCCCCCTGAATTACCTCTATAATACTCCCATATATAATCCTCACCCCCGATTGATTAAGGAGCATAGACTATAGCTCATGTGGGAGTTCACGTCTTGAGTTGTGAGCTTTGGGGCGGTTTTCGTACTTTGGCTCGGTACAACTTCCATTTATTCTCGGCTCGGGGATTTAGAGCGTTTACGCAAAGGTCTCCCCAACTGGACGCCCAACATATACGCTCACCAATATTCCTAAGGAGCCCTGTACGTGCACTCACCCAAAAACCG